AACTTTGGTTTGCAAAGGGTTTCGGGCTTTATGGTGGCTTTAAATTGGTGTCGTAAGGGTTTGCTTTTGAAGCCGGTTCGTATGCCTGTTGCCGGGTTCCATAAGCTCTTTAGATATGTTTCGATAAAGGGTCCACGGCTTCCGGTTCTTCGCGGTCTAAGGCTTAGGGTGTTAGGGTAACAAGGCATCATAGGTAGGTATTGTGGGGGTTTCGCACCAAGGGTCCGTGTGCCTATGTATGCGGTGGAGATATCGGGACATGCGTTTCGGCTGAGGAAACCTGCTGGGGCTCCATCACGCTACGCAGACTACGCGTCATTATGACGGATCCCTAAACTCAACAAGCCATGACTATAAGCATTAAGCTTTTTTGATACTGTTGGTATTAGAGGTGCATATGGTCCTCGTGTGGATCTCGGAAAACATCTTGGCATTACTTGCAAAGGCTTCTTGAGGGGAAACTTCACTGATAACCATTCCCGAGCGCCTTGGAGTGTAGATGTTGCGACATAAGGCTACATGCATGTGAGGGTTGCCGGAGGTCAGGTGTGGCTTTACAGAACAAGGACCCTGGTGCAACTAGGCCGCAGGATTTAGGACATACGTGCGACCCCAACCTTCTGAATGCTTGAGCCCTCCACCAGGATAACGACGTGATCTCTTGTAAACACCCGTGTGACCTTGCTAGAGAATCCACTGGCTCAGGGGAAAAGCGAACACGCAAAAGTCACATAAGCTTGTTCACACATGCCTGCATGCATCAACCATGGGGCTCTACAAGCGGAGAGTACTACATGCATGTTTGAACACAACCCGAAATGTACAGGTTTGCTTTAAAACTGAAGCTCAAGCATACAAATGCCAAAATCCCGCCAGCCCCAAACCCAAAACTTTCTGTTTCCGATGGTCTCGATCCCAGACCTACCAGAGGGGCCTTAATAACTACAAAAGGGTTTAAGGGCCCCTTTATGCTATACTTATAATCAAGAACCCCCCGAACTAGTGTTGGTAATTAATATATCGGCCCCTATATTAAAGTTATTCTCAAGACTCTAGAGAATCGATAAGGAACCCCCCCAAAAAAAAATACATCGGCCCCTATACTCCTGATATGGCTCTACTTGTAAGAAGGAACCCCCCCAAACCCTTTTGCTGCAGGCTTGCAAGCAATAACGCCTGGTAGCTAGCCACTCGTCCGCCGACTAACACTGTACTCGTTACAGCGCTTCCAGCTTCCGAGCATTGGTTGAAGGCCTCCACACCCATCTGG